CACCCACGTGTCCTGTTTAGAAATCTGATCAGAGACTGTACCCTCCGACAGCACTGAGAGTGAGTGGTGGCTGGAGGTATGGTCTGTGCACTAGAGTTCCTGTAGCAAGAGTGAGTCCCTGAGTTTAAACCCCAGTATTGCCAAAATAAATCCTATCAGAGAATAGGGCATGGAGGATGCCATGCTCTGTCAATGGATTCCCTACGCTTTGGTACCTGCTTCACTCCAAACCCTGAAAGGCAGATTGAGGAGGCACTTATTAAGATTTAGGGCAAAGATCCTGCAAATTAGTGCAAAGATCCTGCAGATAATCCTAATTCTTAGCTCCCTCCTTTACCTTCCTGTCACTCCCTGTCATTCTGGGCTGCCTCAATGAGTTTCCAATAAGAATTTATCCAAGCCAGACACCGGTGGCTCACTTCTATAATCCTAGTTACTTGGGAGGCTGAGATCAGAAGGATCGCAGTTTGAGGCCAGCCTGGGCAAATAGTCAAGAGACCCCTATCTCCAAGATAAACAGGGCAAAATGGACTGGAGGAGTGGTTCAAGTGGTAGAGCATTTGCTTTGCAAGAGTGAGTCCCTGAGTTTAATCCCCAGTCTCACCAAAAAGAAACAAAATTTACCCAGCCCAGGGGCCAGGCAGTCTGCCATTCTTAGGAAATTCAGTTTGTGGCTCCCCCTACTGGCAGAGTCAGAGAGCTGGGTCACTAGCTTTCCAGCCTTTCCCTTTCCCTTCCTGCTTCACCTGAGGCGGACCCCTCTCACCCCAAAAGAGACAATTAAAACTTCAGTCCCAACCCCCCTTTTCCCTGCTTCAGAACCCCATCTACTTTATAGGAACACTAACTGGAAATGGGAAGAGCTAACTGGGTATTTGGAAGCACAGATTAAATTTCTGTTTCCAAATCATTTTCTTCTTTTTTTTTTTCTGCCCCAAACCCACTCATGGTCTCCTGTTCATGAAGACTTCGTTTGATTATTTATATATCTCTAAAACACTCTCTTCCACCCGCAGTCCCCAAGGGCGGCATTTCGCTGACACCCACTTTGCCTCCCTCCTCTGCAGGGAAGCCATGGTTTATGCTGGAAAAAGCGGAGGAACCTAGCTTTGAGTCCTGTTTCTGGTCCTTGGACCAGTCACTTCCTTCTTTCCCAGAGCAGTTCACTCACTGTGGCATCAGAATGGACTCCAAAACATGGTTCCAACTGTGGCACTCTAGGATTTGCTTTTCCTCTGTCATTGTGTTTCAAAGCTTTGGTCAGTTTCCGCAGGTCTGTATTATTGTTTCATGTCTACCTCCCCCATCAAACTCTAAACTTCCTGATGGCAAGGACCTATCTTGCTTGTCACTCTAGCCCAGCACACAGGTTCTTTGCCTGCCCATTTTATAAAGGCTCAACATATACTCATTGAATAAACAAATTCATAAATAGACAAATGAATCCTTTTCTTCACCTATCAGCTGGATTTTTTGGGGGTTTGAACTCAGGGCCTCACACTTGCTAGGCAGGCACTCTACCACTCCACCAGTGTTTTAAGGGAGGAATTACTTATTTTGCTCATGGTTTCAGAGGTTTTGCTTGGGCAGAACATCACGGTGGCAGAAGCGTGTGGCAAAGGATGGTTTCACTTTATGGTAGACAGGAAGCAGAGAGAGGAAGTTTTTATTCTTATTTTTTGGTGGTGCTGAAGATTGAACCCAGGGGCTCAGGCATGTAGGTGAGAAGAGCAGGCTGGTTCTGCTCTGGGCTACTCAGTGATGTACAGAACAGCAGCTTCCAGGCTGTTCCTAGCTTGACTTCCCCCATTTTATAAATAACCATTTTGACCTGAGTTACTCCCTTTTGAGTATATGTGCCAAGGAAGAATGACTCTATGATCTTGTTTATATAAGTAAACAATCACCATCTGCCAGCACAGCGGGAGGCACAAATCAATAAATAATTACACCTGTAAATATATCAAATCATATAAGAAACACCAGACACATGAGCTTATCAGTCATGCCAGATGTAACCTCCTCACCTAAGACTATAAAAGAAGGAGCACCCCAAGACTGAGACATTGTAGGCACACTGACATGTCACTTGGCCATTTGTCATGAGCCTCATCCAGGAAAATGGCGAGCGTGAAGGACCTCCACCTCTGTCCTGGAGCTCTAGTTCAAACACACTTTCTCCTGCCATGACAATGGCCCACTTAAAACTGACTCAAAACTGCCTGCCTCCTGGATGTGCATTTGACAATTCTGTGCCTTGAACAGATCTGTGCCTATGGGTTCATAAAACTTCTCAGCTGGTCTCCTACAGTGACTTTTCATTGCATCTATATCAGCTATCTGCCTTCACCTCCAGCCTTCGGCACAGTCTATCTGAACCCTATCATCTCTTTAACACTTTAGCCATTCTGTAACATATATAAGACATATATAATTCACATATTATATATTATATACACATATATAACACATATATAATTATATAAAATGATGTGAAGTGTAGTGTGTGATCTGGGGGTTAATATCAGCAATTAAAAATTATTAGTTAAGGTTGAAATAAAAGAAAGTGTGATTGCCAACAGCCACAAATACCAAGTGAAATCAGGAGTACTTTGTGAATTAAAGCCAATGGAATTGACATAGTTTATGAACTGGGTTTTTGTTGTTGTTATTGTTTGTCTGTTATGGTCTCGCTGTGTATCCCAGGCCAACCTGGCCTCAAACTCACAATTCTCCTGTCTCAGCCTCCCAAGTGCTGGGATTACAAGTGTGTACCACCATGCCTGGCTGTGAATTTATTGTTATTCATTAAATTCTGACATTGTGGAAAGGTACAGACATGTCTATCTATGTTTCTGACATAATTTGCTCATGACACTAGGCAAGTGGTCTATCACTTAGCTACATTGTCAGCCCATACCCTTTGTTTTTGAGGCAGGGTCTTGCATTGTAGCATAGGTTGGAATGGAACTCCCGATGTAAACCAGGCTGGTCTCAAACTCAAGGTCCTCTTGTGCTTCTCAAATGGTGGGATTACAGGCATGTACCACCACATCTGGCTTCAGTTGCTTTCTACGTGTAACCAGATAGTGCTTAAGGGCAGAAAGCTCAGTGGTAGAGAAATTGCCTAGTATGTGTGAGGCACTGGGTTCAATCTCCAGGTTAGATCCCCAGTACTGCATAAATAAATAAATAAATAAAACAAACAAAAGGTCAAAAGCCAGATTCCCTGTGTTTGGAAACCAGCTTTACTGCTTACAAGCTGCATAAACTTGCTTAATTTAATCTTTCTGTGCCTTACTTTTCTCCTCTGTAAAGGAAGGATAATAAAATACACTACCTAATAAGGTTGGGGTGAAGATTAAAAGCATGTGGAACAAGGCTTGGCACTTAAGTGCTGGATAAGTAATAGTTATTGTCATCATTCTGCCTTGTCTATGACTCGTTTGTGCATTCTAAACTCTCCCACTAAGCCTCAGCGATTATGGACATTTGGCCAATCTTTGTTCATTTACAACCTTCTCTTTTTTCTCCCTACTGGAGTATTTTAATGTAAGTCCCAGATGTCATACCATTTTATCTGAAAACATTTTAGTATGTAACTAACAGATAAGGACTTTACAAAAAAAACCAAAATATCATTATCACACTTTTAAAAATTAACGGTAATTAGGGAGGGCTTTTAAAACCCCATTGCCTTGAAACACACTGAGGGGACAGGAACCCTGAATTCCCGGTAGATGTAGAATGAGGAACAGCCAAGAAGTTAATGTATGTTAAGTGTTTGGAAGAAAGCCTGTCATATATAAGCAGTATTATTTTGGCTCTCTTTCCTTCTCTCCATTTATCCACTCTAAATCTACCCCACAATCCCTCTCTTATTTCCAGGATGTGAGTATGGATTTACAAAGGAGGGCTTGGAGCCTGGGCTAGGAAGTTTTGGTGTCATTGGAGTCCTGGGGAGGGAGTCGGGACTCTAGAAGACATCTAAAAGGAGCCCAAAGAAAGCAGCAGGGCTGGAGGCTCAGCTCAGTAATAGAATACTTGCCTTACACAAGGCTCTTGGTTCCATCTCTGGCACCACCCAAAACCAAACCAAACCAAACCAAACCACCCAGGAAGCAGCAACTGCAGGACCTAGAAGGTGGGGAAGAACCCTGCAGCTGTGTGACAACAGAGGTGAGAAAACCCAGGTGCTAAAAGACAGACAAAGGGAGGGTTAGTCCTTGCTTTCCAATGATCTAGGCCTTTGGGGATCACTGCTAGCTGGGCAGCAGAGAGGGGCCGGCTCCTGAGGACATTACCTATAGCTTTTCTTTACAGTTCACAGATGGGCAGCTGCCTACAACAGTAACTGGAGCTCTGTGTTGCTTCAGCTAGAGTTCTCCAGGGATAATGATGATGGTGGACCCTGAGCCAAAGCACAACTCGGGATGGCCTTCCCTAGACTCTAGATGAAGATTTTCTTTTTCTTTTTGCGGTACTGGGGTTTGAACTCAGGGTCTACACCTTGAGCCACTCAACCAGTCCTTTTTTGTGTTGAGTATTTTTGAGGCAGGGTCTCTCAAACTATTTTCCTGGGCTGGCTTCAAACCTCAATCCTCCTGAGCTCTGCCCCCTGAGTAGGTAGCTAGGATTACAGGCATGAGCCACTGGCGCCTGGCCCAAGATTTTCTTTTTTTTTTTTTTTTTTTTTTGAGCTAGGGTCTTGCTATGTAGCCCAGGCTGGCCTTGAAGTCACAATCCTCCTGACTCAGCCTCTTAAGTGCTGGGATCCTAGGCATGTGCTAACACGTCCAGCTAGATGAACATTTTTGTGTTCCCATCTCTCTTTTCCTTTCTATAGAATTTTCCCCTATTCTTTTCTTCATCTACTCATCTTTTGGGTACTCAGAGCACCCGGACACTCAGCTCCCCTTGTCTCAGTCCATTCGTGCTGTTATAACAAAATACCACAGACTGGATAATTCATAGATAACAGAAATTTATTTCTTACAGTTCTGGAGGCTGGGAAGTCCAAGATCAGGGGGCTGGTAGAATTGGTATGCGGTGGGGGCTTCTCTCTCTAAGATGATGTCTTGCTGCTGCATCCTCTTCAGGGAAAGGAAGAAGAGGGAATAAGGCCTAAATTAGTTGTCTCAAGACTTTTCATAAGGTGCCAATCCATTCATGAGGGTGGAGTCTTTGTAACTTAGTCATTCCCAAAAAGTCCCACCTCTTAATACTACCACGGTGGGGATTAAGCTTCAGCACATACATTTTGGGAGACATTCAGACCATAGCACATCTCAATCCAAACTTGTCTCCAAGAAAACATGTGATTCAAACATTTCAGCAGGACAAAGAAGCTGCTTCACAATTTGGCCTCCAACTACTTCATCCACTGCATTCCCACCACTCACCTCTTCTTCCCAGCAGTAGGCAGTATGAAAGAGCACAGGCTTGTGTTCATATGGACTTGGTATTGAATTCAGGCTCTACTATTTCCCAGCTTGGGAACCCTGGGTAAGGTCTCTTTATTTCTCTGAGCTTCAGTTTCCACATCTGAAAATAGGAATAACAGTACACTAAAAGTCCTCTTGAAAAAAATATTATTAACATATAATTTAAGAATCTTCCTAACAAAAGGCTTAAAGCCATATAAATGACTGAGTTAAAATATAGGTTGGGCACAGTGGTACAAGCTTGTAATCCCAGCACTCAGGCCATCCTGGGCTACATATCAAGACCCTATCTCCACCATGCACTTGATGGCTCATGCCTGTAATCCTAGCTACTCAAGAGGCAGACATCAGGGGGATCATCGTTTGAAGCCAGCTCTGGCAAATAGTTGGGGAGACCCTATCTCGAAAATACCCAACGCACCAAAAACGGCTGGCGAAGTGGCTCAAGTGGTAGAGCGCCCACCTAGCAAGCATAAGGCCCTGAGTTCAAATTATAGGCCCACCAAAAAGTGATTTTTCAAATATCGAATACTAAATTAGTGCTGAGGAATCATGTCCATGTTCTTACCAGTATATGAACAAGGATAGTTCTTGGCAGTACTGGAGCTTGAACTCAGGGCTTATAGGCTTGCTAGGCAGGTGCTCTACTGCTTGAGACGTGGCTGCAGTACTTCTTGCTCTGGTTGTTTTGGAGATAGGGTCTTGCTTTTTGCCCACGCAGTCCTGGATTGTGATCCTTGTATTGTATTGGTTGCAATGGAAGGGTCTCACAAACTTTTTGCCTGGGCTGACCTTCAAGCATGATCCTCCCGATCTCAGCCTACCAAGTAGCTAGGATTTCAGGCGTGAACCACGTCGTCCAGCAACAAAAAAACTTCTTGTTGGCTCACAACCTCTTATTTAGTGTCAACCCAAGCAAGCCACTTCAACTTGCTCATTATTTCCATATGCCCTAAGTTTGCCTTTTAAAATGACTGCATCTTAGAGCTTCTGAAGAAATAGTGACCACAGCACTATTTACTTCTTAAATGAGAGCTTTGCTTTTGTCCCTGAAGACCCTTCGTCAATGTGAGTTTATGTCGCGGGGGCTCCACTTCCCAAGATGCTTTAACTAACAAGGATAGCATAAGCACGCACGCATCCACCCCGTCACTTGTCTTCCGTAACACGCATACACACTCAACACGGTTTGGATCCGCTTGAAAATGCGAGGACGTGACGCAGCCCACTACGTGCCGCGCAGACAAATGCTGAGTGCGGCGCGCGTCGGCGCAGGCGCACTACCCTCATGGGCCCAGCTCAGACGTTGGCGCTAGAGCGCGGGCCTGCGGATTGGATGGCCTCGAGGCCGACGGTTAGCCCTGCCCCCTCGCATGCGAACGGAGCATGCGCGCGACCGGAGAGAGCGAAATTCAAGCTCCAGCGGTGGTACTTGGAATCCAACCCGAGGATCATGGAAGCGTACCGAGGATTAGCGCAATCCCAGACTTTGAGCCCACTGCAGGCGACCCAATATATGAGGTATGTTCGGGCCGCCGGGCAGATCTAGCTTGTAGGCCTCGGCCCTGTGTGGGGGTGGGGTGGCGGGACCTTCTGAGACGCCCTTCCACACTCTGCTCTGAGCAAGGCCTGAGAATCCGCCCTGGGCATTTACCTAACCTGGGGAGCCCCCGATGCTGTCCCCCTTCAACTAACTGATCAAACCCTTAATTCTTTCCACCCTCGCAAGCCCCAGGCTTTAGGGGATAGAGACATGAATAAAACACGGACCTTCAAACCAATACTTACTATAATGTTTGATAAGTGCTGTAAATTGTTTAATGTGCAGGGCAGAGTTAACATAAGGGAGAGAGCGAAGGGAGGAGCTCATCAGAGAAGGAAACATTTGAAAAATGAATAAACATCCACTGGATCGCTAACAGTGGGGGGAGGGGCATGGCGATGTGGGGATGAGCATTTAAAAAGAATTAAGTCGTAGTAAAGTACACGTAACGTAGAACATTATCTCCACCATTTTAAGTGTGTAGTTCAGTAGTGTTAATAAATTCACATTGTTGTGCAACCCATCTCCAAACCTTTTTATCTTTCGAAACTAAAACTACACCCATTAACAACTTCGCACTTCCCCCTCCCCCCAGCTCTTCGTAAACACCCTCCTTCTGTGTCTCTAGGAATTTGACTACTTTTGGTGCCTATGGAACTGGAGTCATACAGTATTTGTCTCTGCCTGGCGTACTTCACTTAGCACTGTAGCCTCTAGGTTTCTCCCTTGTATCATGTGATGGAGTTTCCTTTTTTATTTTTATTTTTTGTCGGTGCTGGGTGTTGAACTCTGGGCCTTGAGTTCGCAAAAACAGGTGCACTACCACTTGGGCCATGCCCCCAGCCCTCCTTTTTTAGGGCTAATGTTCCTTTGTATGTATATACCCCGTTTTGTTCATGCGTTTATCCGTTGATGGGCACTTACCTTGTTTCTGTAAATGAATAATGCTGCCATAAATGTTGGTCTGCAGGTAATTGTTTGACATACTGATATCAAATCTTTTAGCTATATATCTACAAGTGGGGTTGCTGAACCTTATGATAGTTTTACATTTTTTTTTGCAGTGCTGGGGGTTGAACCCAGTGCCTCTGTGTGCTAAGCACCTGTTCTACCACTGACTGAGCTACACTTGCATCCTCTGATTATTTTGAGGAACCTCCATACTCTTTTCCACAATGATTGCACCAATTTATAGGCCCACCAAGGGCTTCAGTTTCTCCACATCCTTGTCAAACCTTGTTTCTGTCTGTTTTGTTTTTCAGCTTTTTTTTTAGTAAGAGAGTAGCCATCCAACAGGAATTTGTTGGTGTCTCATTGTGGTTTAGCTTTTCATTTCCCTATTGATTAGTGATTTGGGGCATCTTATCATTTTTCATGTGCTTATTTGCCGTTTGTATGTCTTTGGAGAAACATCTATTCAAGCCCTTTGCATTCTCTTTCTATCTCTCCTTTTATTTATTTTTTGTGTGATGCTGGGGATGAACCCAGGGCTTCTTGCATGCTAGGCAAGACCTCTACCTACCATTGAGTTACATCCCCAACCTAAATCTTTTCCTTAGTTTTTATTTTTTTTATGAAGTTTGCTTGTTTTTGTTGTTGAGTTGTAGTTCTTTTTTTTTTCTTTTTTGTTTTTTTGCAGGACTGGGGTTTGAATTCAAGGTCTACACCTTGAGCCACTCCACCAGCCCTTTTTTGTGTTGAGTACTTTCGATATAGGGTCTGGTGAACTATTTCCCCAGGCTGGCTTCAAACTGTGATCCTACTGATCTCTGCCTACTGAGTAGCTAGGATTACAGGTGTGAGCCACCATCACCTGGCTTTTTTTTTTTTAGCATACATTAATTGTACAGGGGGATTCATTGTGACTTGTCTCCCATCCAAGTACTAACCAGGCCGGACCCTGCTTAGCTTCTGAGGTCAGGCGAGATCGGGCATGTTCAGGGTGGTATGGCTGTAGACTCACTGTAACATTTCTGAATAGCCTTACATTGTAGATTTGTTAGGTTTGCCCCCACTGTCTGTCCCCCTCATTTTGGGGGGGGGATGTGGGACTGGGGTTTGAACTCATGGCTTTGGCCTTGCAAAGCAGGCGCTTTACTGCCTGAGCCACACCTCCAGTCCATTTTGCTCTGGTTATTTTGGAGATGGGGGTCTTATGAACTATTTGCCCAGGCTCACCTCCAACCATGATCCTCCTTATGTCAGCCTCCCAAGTAGCTAGGATTACAGGCGTGAACCACCAGTGTTCAGCTTAAATTTGACTTGTTAAGGCAAGTGCTCTATCACTGGAGCCACTCTCCAGTCTGAGTTTTAGTTTTTTTATTTTTCCTTGTGGGACTGGGGTTTGAAGTTAGGGTTTTGCACTTGCAAAGCAGGTGCTCTACTGCTTGAGCCACACCTCCAGTCCAGCCCAAGTTCTTTATATCTGAATATTAATTCCTTATCGGATACATGATTTGTGGATATTTTCTCCAGTGAAGTAGGTTGCCTTTTTAATCTCTTTATAAAATTTTTTGTTGTGTAGGTTGCCTTTTCACTGTTAAGTTTTTTGATGCTCAGTAGTTTTTTCTTTCTTTTTTTGTCCTTGTCTTCATTTTACTCACCAAATAGCCTCCTTTCCTAAAACAATACAAATCACTGTTTTATCTGCAAGCTGGAAGGCCTGGGCTGCAGGGAGTCCACTAGGTATTGACTCCTACCAACAGGGAACCACCAAAGAAGACTTTTGTGTGTGTGTGGGACTAGGTTTGAACTCAGGGCTTACACCTTGAACCACTCTATCAACCCTTTTTTGTGAAGGATTTTTTTCGAGATAGGGTCTCACAAACTGTTTGCCCAGGCTGGCTTCGGACCTTGATCCTCCTGATCTCTGCCTCCAGAGTAGCTAGGGTTACAGGCATGAGCCACTGGCACCCATCTCACAAAAGAAGGCTTTTCTTCTGCAGCCATTAACTATGCCAAGAAAAAAGGACTTTTTTCTTGAAGGGAAACATAGGCTCCCCAAATCTCAATGAATAAAGGAGTAGAACTTATGTTTTTCCCAAACCAGCACCATTGGGGTTGGGGATTTTTCTGTTTTTTCTTTTTTTAAAAAATTTATTAATTTTTTAATTCTTCTTTTATTCTTTGTTTTGTTTTCTCTGTGATTCTTGCATCTGGTGAGATATTTCAGGCAAGAAGTGAAATATAAGGAAAATGATAGCAAAAGTTTATTAAGGATGGTAAAGTTATTAGAAAGGCACTTTCAGAGATGAAAGTGTTTTTTTTTCTCAGAGAGGTTCAGAGCAGCAACCACTTCTACCCCAGCACAAGTTTTCCTTGAAATTTAAGGGGCTTGGAGCATCAAGTCCCTTCTCAGGACTAGCCTACAGGGAGTGATTGACGTGAAAATTGTGAAAGAATTATGACCTGCCTCAAGAATCACTGAGTCTGTGAGTACTTATGACCACTAAAGAAAAACCCACAGTCTGGGGAGCAGGGGGTTAGAATAAAGTACAATGAGATTATAATGACCTGGTAATGAGCAAAAGCCAACTCTTGGTTTAGGCAACCCTTGTTGGTCATTTGGGTCCAGGTGCAGGGGGGCATGACGATGTTTATACCTTCCAAAGCAAGGTTGGTCTTGAAGGTCAGGGCATTAGGCCTTCTCCTTACCAGTCACACCAGGTCTCCATATATGTAGGTCATATTGCCCTCTTAGTTTTGCAGGTGTTCTACAAAGATATGGAGCCAAAAGCCTAGGTCAAGAAAAGTTTAACTTGCAGCATGTAAACAAGTAGATGTGAGAGAGAGAGAAAGAGAATGGGGCTCCCAGTGCTATGTGTTGAACCAAGGATTCGCCATCTTAGATTGCTTTCTCATGTCTCATTGTTCATGTCTAACTGCTACCTGTCAAGTACAACATGGCTGCCGGACTCAGACAGGTGGGGTGCTCCCTCCTCCTTTGGGCTCTCTGCCAGCAGCTCTGCACACTTGGATGGATACAGCAGGGCTTCGGCACAGCACCAACGACATCAGCAGTCCATTCTCTGAGTGCATTCTTCAGGCAACCACACTAATTCAGAGTTGGAAAGATTTGAGGGCTGGTGGAGTGGCTCAAGGGGTAGAGCACCTGCCTAGGAAGCACAAAGCCCTGAGTTCAAACCTCTGTACCATCTCTACCCTCCAAAAAATTGAGCTGGAGCTACTCAGGAGGCAGAGATCAGGGGGATCGTGGTTCGATGCCAGCCTGGGCAAATAGTTCCATAAGACCCTATCTCAAAAAAACCCATCACAAAAATAGGGCTGGTGGAGCAGCTCAAGGTGAAGGCCCTGAGTTCAAACCCCAGTATCGCAAAA